GTCCAAATATGGACCTAACTGTATATGAAAAGCATTTTAGGGGGCCATTGGCTTTTGGTGACCCAAGGCGGTCACCTACCTTTGCCTAATGGGTAAGTCTGTTTTTGGGTTTGAACTAAAACAGCTGACAGGATGAATGAAAATGTAAATCCATTGTCTGACAGCAGGTGGCACCAGTAACCACCGTAAACAAAACAGCGCTGCTTTTGAAAAGTGATTTCTGTTAAATAAAATATCTCCTTTTGAAGTGGACTTTGTAATGTTGCTATTTGAGCATAAAAAAGATCTGCGAAGTTACAAAGCTCAGACTAACTAAAGTTGAAAAAGTGAAAAAGCATAATAGGACCCCTTTAAAAACACTCTTGTATATTAGGCAGTATACTGAGGAAAATGAAAAGAAAATGCCATCGAAACTCTTCTGAAGACCGTTGGTTCCCTTCAGAGATACATTCATATAATTAATTCAGACCCAATTTTAATTCTGTCATTAATTACTCATGTCATTCCAACAGAGCCGGCGCCAGCGCAGCACTGATGAGGGGGCGAAAAAAAGGTAACGAAAGGGGGCGAAAAAAAAACCCATATGTGGCCCATTCACATATTTGTCGGACCGTAAACAAACCTGCCCACTACTATTAGAATACTGGGTTCACACAGATAGTGTTTTGGTCGCGAGTCAGGTCAGTGGAATTTTTTATTTTTATTTTTTTTAAAGCGCAAGGTCTAGAGATGTGTTTTTAGAAGCTGAATTTCTTTTAACTTGAGTGCAGTGTTTTAGAATTATGTATTATGCGCGAGAAGCTGCTATAAAGACCTGAGATGAGAGCGCAGCATTCAAACACAAATTCAAAGACGTCCGTAGCGCATTTACTTTGAAATACAATGGGGAAAGTACCGCAGTGGAATGCAAAATGTGTTCTGAGTGAATGATCCTATACTAAAAAGTAGCAAATACAGATGGCAGAGTAGGCTATTGAATAAAACAAAATCACATGGGCAAGAAATTCGAAAATCTGACATCCAGGAAATGATATGACTTAGGCAGCAGTTTTACCACAAGTACAGACAAGTGATACCACCACAATCACCAGAAATAATTGTCTGCTTTACAATGAAACACAAGCTTATTGCGACCGATTCCCTGACGTAACACATTCATTGCGACCCATTTAACAGATGCATCATTTTAAGATTTTTAGAACAACTTAAACAGCAACAAACAATACACTGAAATAAGCAACTAACTACGACCATCTAGCCCTCTATTAAACATAAAAAAATTATTTAGAACAACTTGAACAGCAACAAACAATAACAATACAGCGAAATAACCAACTACGATCATCTAGCCCTCTATTAAACATTAAAAAATTATTTCATCATACCTTTAGCTTACTCAGTAGTGCTGCATTCTTAGTTGAACCGCTTGCCGTAAAATGCGACTTAGTGAAATGGACTGTCCTAAATTGTTGCTATAGTAGCATCATATTAATGCTAGAAAGCCTATGCATTTGGCAACTGTATTTTTTTAATAAACCATTATATTTCATAAATAAAATCTATTTTCACACTCATCTTGAGTGAGGGGGTGGAATAGTCCGAGTTGCAGCTTCAGCTTTAGTCCCCCTCACGCCACCCAGGAGCCGGCGTTCTGCCGTCGAACCCAAATGCGCTGCACCTTGTTTACAAGCAGAGGAATGATGCACACGCATGCATCATGGTACTCTCATGGAGGAAAAGACATCAGTCAAACATCCCACTAAAGAATGGGAGAGATGATCAGAGAAAAAATGAACTCATAAACATGGTGCTTGTTTAAAAACTTATTTTCACAGGCTCTGATACCCCTGCCAGGGTCAGAGCCCACACCGCTCAAGGAGATATAGCTTCGCTGCATGGTTTGATTCATCCTAAAGATGCAAAAATGCAGGAGAGTTATCTCAAATAAGCAGTGTACACTCTGTGAAGAGAAGATAGACCCGTATGATTGATCGCATAGTTTTATTAAAGGGAAAGAGACCAATTCACATCCAACTTTCCAGCTGGATTGACAGATAAAAAAGCACCTCTTGTGGCTTGTGTTTATCGCACAACTCAAATAGTTCATCCCAAAAATTAAAACTCTGCCCTTGTTTAGTCCCCCTGATATTCTAAACCTGTTTTTGGTTGTTGTTTTTGTTTTTTTAAACCATGGAATACAAGAAGTTTGTGTGAACCATTGGGTGAAGCATTCCTATAACTTAGAGTAAATTCTCTCTTTTTTAAGTTATCATTTTGTTTAATTTTCTTTTATGAAATAGTACAGAGAAAGAGAGACAGGAAGTGATGTGGTGGAGAGAAAGGAACAGGAATGGGAAAGGACCATAAGCCAGGATTCTAAAAAAAAACAAAAAAAGCCAATTACTGGTTGGCGGTTTTTTTTGTTTTGTTTTTTGCCAAGGCTGATATTTTGCCCAATATTTGGCACTTTATTTATCTGGATCAGCTGCTAAGTTTTTTCTGTTTGGCCAGTAAGTGTTAGAATCTGACATTTATTTTAACAGTGCCGAGACATTTATTTTGACAGCTCTGGGAATACCAGCACCTGAGCAGATGTTTAAAGAGCTCTTATTCTCTGTCTTCATTACTCTTTGTTTAACAGTTCTGTCTTTTAAATTGTAGTGTTGTAGTGTTTTCTTTTCTATTATTAGTAATACAAGGCAAATGCTCTAACACTTTCCCACATACCGTAGGCATTCAGTAAATAGACATCTATATCATTTCAACAAGACTTACATTTAATTTTACGAACCTCACACACTTTGGCGGATCCAGCTGTTAGATCTTCTGAAGTGTGAAATTGTAGTCTGAATACAAATGCATGTACCCAGTGCATGACGGTCCGTTTGTTCAAATTGGATGCGGACAGGAATCATTAATTTCAGACTGTGCTGCTCAAGCCCCTCTTGTAATGTAAAACTTTGGGATTTGTTTGAACCGTTTTGTCATTTGCCAGTCAGAAATGTTGACTCCTCAGAAAACCTCTCCTTAATAAGCCACACAGTGTGAGGTATAATTTGTGTGAAGGGCAAACGTGTTGGATGTGTTCAACGCTTAGAGGGCTTTGAAAAACTGCTAATCATGAGTATGAGTAATAGTGAGATTTGACTTAGCATTTCTATGTTTCTGTCAACCCCCTTTATAAGTTCATTCAGAACATTTTCTGACAACCCATGCTTTAGGCAAGAGTGTAAAGCACACAGCATGAGAAAAGGCCTGGTAAGAGAATATTCTTTGTGGGGCGCAAAACCCTTGCCAGTTTTACCTGAACATAATGCTATTCACATTGCACTGTCCTATATAATAATGGATTAATGACTGCCTTGCACAATATAAAGCTCTACATGGCAGCACCCAGCTCTCTGCTCTATTTAATAAATTCATAGTTTCTAACCAGGCCCAAAGCAACTAGCAATTTTTCCAACAAGCCATTTGTCCACTGAGCTATTACTGTGTCAAGCAGCAAAACTGCTCCACTTGACAAAACAATGGCTAATCAAAAGATTTTTTAAGTGTCATACAGTTACGACGAGTGGCATTTTGGTCCAATGAGATACAGGGGCTACAGGGTCCATTGGTGCAAAAATTGACCCTTTTCACAGACTGTAATGACACATGTCCACAGTTGTTAACATCGTAATTCTAGTAGTTTTTTTTCATATATTTTCATTTAAAAAAAAATGTAATGTACATTTATAACACTATATTTAGTTTTTATTATCTTATTAACTTGTTAACACTATTGATTGTTTCTATTAAATCGGCTGAGGGAGTGAACATTATATTTATGTGCTTTCGAGCTACAATAATGCGCTCTCGACATTTGTCATTAAAATAACGCCATACAAAACACAAAAATTATATTTGTTGTAGCTTTTTTTCACCACACTCTAAAAAATGCTGGGTTGTTTCAACCCAACTTTGGGTCAAATATGGACTAACCCAACTTCTGGGTTATAAATTTAATTTAAAAATGTACCCCAACAGCTGGGTTAGTCCATATTTTACCCAAACTTGGGTTGAAACAACCCAGCATTTTTAGAGTGCACAATAAAAGTTTACCCAACAATGACAACTATGGCTTTCTGCTTCTGAGAATCCCTGAAATGTAAAAAGGGTCCATAGAAACCAATCGATCAAATAAATGCTTTATCATTTCTCATGTGTATTGGACAGTTATTAGAGAAGTTAGTGGAGGCAGACAACTAAACTTGAGGGATATTGCACATATCTCTCAAGCTGCCTCTCGCTGTAGGCTGCTGGGACTCTCAAGGCTTTAATAAAATATAAAAAAATTCCCATAAGTATCTGTCCTTTACAGTTCCTGAACTGACCTTGTGAGCCTTAACCATTCATTACTCTCAATCTGCATTGCGTCCAATTAAGCCTCGGCATATCAAATTAAAAGGACTTAAGTATCATAATTTACACTTGACTTGAACTAGCAGTGTTCGTTTGTTTCCTTTGTTCTTGTGGAGGTGTAGATGACAGCACCTGAGGTGTTACTGAAAGACTGTTATTAATGGTCTTAGCATCATTATGCTGTCACCTCTCTGAGCCTGAATGCATTGGATGTGTGCTGAAAATCTTACACTGAATTGAAAAGCTGATGTTGAACCTGAATGTTTGAATGGCTGCGCTGGTGTGTTAGCGAGATCTCTGCTGCCCCACTGTGTTCATATGCACACACACACACACACACACACACTCACTGAAGGAATTCACAAATGTGTGTCTGAACACCCTGAAGAGGAAATGAACTGTGACTCATTCATACAACCGGATTTGCAAATTGCCAAAGGCCTTTATTGAATTAATGAGTTTAAAAAGTATTTTTCATTTTATTTTCGTTTCATTCATTTGCTCGTCCCTTCAGATAAAATCATCACATCTGTATCATTCTTTCACTGTGTTTTCGTGATGCCACATACTCTGGTTTAGGTGTTTCTTTTTCTTCCCAGTGATCTGGTGAACGGCCTGGTGTCCCTGATGAATAATAACATCAGTAGTCCAGTTAACCTGGTGAGTTTAGCATTTTGAGTTGCTACTATATATATGTTTTATATTCTGCAATTGTTAATAAATGGTAAATAGAAACAGTCCAATAATTTGCAGTTTAGGCCTGCCTTTCAGTTGTGCTGTAATGTTGAATGGCTAGTTATCATTTTATCCTTATAAAGTTAACATTACTTATAGTTAAACATAACTAAAACCATAGAACCAAAAAAAAAAAAAAAGTTAATTGAAATGATAAACTGAAATTAGTGTGTGTGTGTGTATAAAATAAATAATTTAAAAATAATAATTTTAACTTTACAATAATTACAGAAACCTATGGATTTTATTTTTTAAGCGATTCAGCACTAGATTTTTTTACAGCATTTAATAATCTACTGTTAATTTACAAATATAATATTGATCATTGTTTATGTTTGTTCCATAATACATTAATAATTCATGCAACTTGAAATGTATTAGCATATGTAGTAATTAATATTAACTAAAACACAAAAACACAGCCAGTTTTTGGTCATTTGATTTACATGAAAATATGTGACCCTGGAGCACAAAACCAGTCATAAGGGTCCATTTTTTGAAATTGAGATTTATACACCATCTCAAAGCTGAATAAATAAGCTTTCTATTGATATATGTTTTTTTTTTTTTGATCCCAGCGACTTAAGACTGCTTTTGTGCTCCAGGGTCACATATGTCTGTCATGTTTAAACAAGTATATTTGTGCTATGTGGACTGAACAAATATTATACATTTAAAAAAAGACCACAGTCTATTGCCTGCCACATTATTTCCACTTTTCACAGCTATTTTTTTTAGCTCATTTGACACAATAATTCTGCCTTTTATATTACATTTGAGCTGATAGTATTGTCCACCAGGCACGTTGTCTCACAGCTGAATTGCTTGGCCTTCAGTCTGATTCAATTCAATGTGAAGGAGATATTAAGACCCTCTCCAACCTAAACCTATTGATCTCTCTTCCCTTCTTTTCTCTCGTCTAGGGAAATCCAGAGGAACACACCATACTGGAGTTTGCACAGCTTATTAAGAGTCTAGTTGGTAAGTAGAAATTCTATAAGATTGCAAATGGGGTTTAAGAATCTGATTAAAATAACAGCACACCGCTGATTGTCTCCTCAGTGAGCCGCAGTCATATTCAGTTCCTTCCAGAAGCACAAGATGATCCACAGAGAAGACGGCCAGACATCCGCAAGGCCAAAATGCTTCTGGGCTGGGAACCTGTGGTGAGTTATGAACTGATCATCATGAATATTAGGGCCATTTTATCTATTCAAAACCTGTTTTAAAAAATATTGTGTGCATGTATATATTTATAAAAAAATTTTTTTTTTTGTAGATTATATATAGTAGATTATATATATATATATATATATATATATATATATACATAGTCCAATAAGATGTAATTTATGTGTTTGCAGGTGCCTCTGGAGGAAGGCTTGAACAAAACCATCCAGTACTTCAGCAGAGAGCTAGAGCATCAAGCCAACAATCAGTATATACCCAAACCCAAGGCTGCACGGATGAAAAAAGGAAGACCCAGACACAACTGATGAATTGTGTTGATGTCAGGAATGCTGGGATACTGGAGCACCATAGAAGTCCAGCAGCCATTATACAGCGTGGGTTTCCCACCTCCCACTTACAGATCCAACTTTTTGAAGAAAAAAAGAAAAAAGGAATTTTTCAGATGTTTTTGCGAATATTTTGAAATGCAGCTCAGGCAGAGAGCTGTCTCTAAAGAGTTTGTTTTTCAGTCAAATGTGCCTCAAAGATAGCCGATTTACAGACTTTGCCTTGCACTTTGGTTTGTCAGTCTTCTGTCTGTTATTTAAAGCAAGCTTAGATCTTCGTGTGCTTTTTTGTTATGTTTACATCCTGTGCCGATTTAACTGATGTGATCTATTTTTTTATCATTGTCAAAGCTAGCGGTGTGTTTGTTGAATGGACACCTGTAGAAAATTATGAAAATTAGCAGTTGCAAACTATTTAAAGATCTTGAATGTCTGGTCTGGAGCAGGAAACCTCATCCGGCTCTGTCAAGAAATCTGAGGAGACGGATAAAAGAAAAGCTTTGGACAATGTTGTTTCTGCTTTAATCTTTGTGATGATTTTGAGCAAAATCTGTTGTTCCCTTTGTGAAACGTCATACAGAACTTTGAACCTATATTGAATTTCAGGTGAAAAGAATATTTTAATAAAATATTTCCTGTGATTTTCACTGTATTCTATTTTTAACCTCACTTTCTCTGTTCTTCTGCCTAATTACTGATTGTTATTTCTCATTTTATTGCTTTTATCTGTTCTCTGCTGCATTTCCATTGATAAATCCATCTCTCTCTCTCTCCCTTCACTACTGAATTTGTCTGTTTTTTTAATGTTTTGTCAGAATTCTCTTGGTTTATAAAGGCTGAATTTATTTGAGCACAAATAAATAAAAGCAGTACTATTGTGAAATATGAATACAATTTAAAATAACTGTTTTTTTTTATTTGAATTTTAAAATGTAATTTATTCCTGTAATGGTAAAGCTGAATTTTCAGCATCATCACTCCAGTCTTCAGTGTCACATGATCCTTCAGAAATCATTCTATGTTGATTTGCTGCTCAATATCTTATCAATGTTTTGTGAATTTTATGACTAGAAAGTTCAAAATCAGGGTTTATTTGAATTAGAAATCTTTTGTAAGATTACAAATGTCACTTTTGATGAATTGAATGCGTCCTTGCTGAATAAAAGTATGCATTTGTTTAAAACAACAAACACAAAACAGTTAGGTTCTGTGGTTTTTATTTTAACACTCTTTCCAGTTCTGTCATTTACTCGTCATAATGTTGTTCCAAATCCATTAGACACTTTTTTTTTTTTTTGAAGAATATCATTATCTTCTCTTCCATATGATGAAAGTGTATAAAAAATGATTTGACACGATTAAATGACCTCAATTTCAGCCTTCTCACACAAAGTAATCATATGGTATATAGCAGTGGTTCTCAATTCCTGGGAGTCCTGGGAACCTGCTATATAGGCTACTTGTATGATATTTTGCTGGGACATTTTTGTCATTTTCAAGTGAATGATGATAGAATCTTCATTTACGGGTGCACTATTAAAATTGACTTTTTTTCTTGATTTTCTCTTATTTCCATTTACAAGAGCAAGCACAAGCTACAGATGAAAAGCACGCTGACATCACTGTGTGGTAAATCTTGGAAACATATTCTTGGTGTTTTAGTAGTAATAATTGACATTTGCCCCATGCCTGTATGAGGCAGCGCTGCGAGGCCCCATGGGAGAGTGATGCTGGCGACCGGGGTCACTGGATTGGTAGTGATCCATCCAGTAGGCCAGATCCGTTACAAGTCTCTGAAGCAAAAGGTTCAAGCGAAAAGATAAATCCTACAAATTTGAAACAAGATGTCACATAAAATGACTTTTTTTTTTTTTACATCATGATACAAAGTCACTGAAATGCACGGAACACCCACTAATATATAATTTACTGTTTGCAGCAACGTTATGTTTTCGATCTGAAAATGCCATCAATACAGTGATTTGAAAAGGGAGGGAAAAAAAAGTTCTGCAAAAGGTGGGCTCGAACCTGGGTCGATCGCGTCAAAAAGCCAACAACAAGCACTTATCCATCTGCACCACTGGAGCTGATCGTATACATCCACTTTTAACTAAATGTAAATATACACTCCGTAGTGATTGTACTTCTCGAGCACTTCTCGGCCACCGTACATCAATCCCTTAAAGACAGAAAAATGCATTGAGAGGTCACAACTGAATTCACAAAATGATTCAAATGTACATACATTTTTTTTAAAAGCTGGAGTTTGGCCGCTTACATTGATTGTATATGTAACAGGGCAATCCTGTGGATTTGATTTAAGTAAATGGAGTGCATCAGTGCCGCCAACTTCTTCAGCTCTGTTGTTTCTCTTCAAGTATTTTTCCACTCAGTTTCCCCACAGAGATTCTAGAAAAGTCATGAACCAAACCAACCAGCTGAGATGAATCACAACATTACAAACTTGAAGCAAAAAAAGACAAAGGTACAGTGTTAACAGATTTAGTGAGGGAAAGAACTACAATCACATGAAGCGTAAAACGATTTAAAAATTGTTGATTGTATCTATAGAAACGATATTTTAGTTTATTGCAAAATATGCATACAGACAGACACAAATATTGAATTATTTTGAGTTCATAGGGAGCGTTTTGATTATATGGTGCTTCATGGGAGAGGTACAATTTGCTTACAATTTTTCTGTATAGCATCATGAGTAGTTTTTTTTTTTTTTTTACTGCATATTCCACTGTTATATAATAGTACTTTAAAAATATATTGAAATCATACACAAAAGCATACAATTAACAACTTCAGAGCTCACAAGGGATCCGTTTTTAAAAGTTTATGTTACTGTTAAAAATCAGTTTCCCTATGGAGAAAATGAATATACTTTTTACTTCCTTTACAGTTTTCACAGTTTCTAAAAGATCATTTACACACAAATCAATTTTTCATGGCCATTATCTGTTTATTTATTGGGTACGAAACCTTTTAATGGGGTTGGACGTTTCACATTGGGAGTCCAACCGATCTCTTTGTTAGTGTTTATTTTACAATAATGACTGGTTATTTGCTCAGTATTCCTTATGTATTGTTCATTTAATATTTAGGGAACTGCAGAAATTGTAACCTAAAGAATTAAGTGAACCAAGAAAAGGAACAAAGGAATACCGTCCCTTATTGATGTGTACTGCTTACAAAGCACACAACATCAAACCCTCAAAATGCAGGCTGGAAAAACAAAGCCTTGCATTTACTGACAGCAGTTTTCACAAACATCATAAAACATGCAGGTGATAAAGAAGTGAACTATACAGAGACCGTTTTGTATAAAGAACGCAATAGTCATATCTTTATGGAAAAATAAGTATTCCAGTAACTGATATTAAATTTACTTGAGTGTCAAAAAAAACAAGTAGATTGTATAAATAGGTACTGATTGTAACTGACTGTATCAATGGCAGCCTGTAAGTGGTGGGTTGCTGGAGTCTATGTTAGGACATGCAAGAGTTAAATCACAGATTGTACACACACACAGGTTTCTATGTTTTATGGGGACATTCCATAGACGTAATGCATTTTATACTCCCCAGCTGTATTTTCTATCCCCTTACCCTAAACCTACCTCTCACACAAAACTTAGATTTTCAAAAAAACATTGTTTCCTCACGGGGACCTAAAAAAATGTCCCCACAAGGTCAAAATTGACTGGTATTACTATACTTGTGGGGACATTTTTTAGGTCCCTATGAGGAATGATGGTGCTTTTTTGGTGCTTTGTTGTACGTGATGAGTGTTGGTAAGTCTATTTTGGAAACAGCAATAAAATTAAATGTTGGTTACAATCTAGGGCTCCTACTGCTTCCCACCCGCCCACCTTACTGGCAGGCTTTGCCCTACTTCCAGCTTCACGAGGTCCTCCAGGGGTCCCTGACTCTAAGCCACCCCAACTCTAACCCCCTACCCCAAATACTAAATTAAGCTAAAAAAAATGGTCCCCCAAAACCCCAGAGTGTGCAGGTGAAACCAAGTAACGAGCTCTGACTGACTGATTGTCTCTTAACTGCAGTAGTACTATATTGATTGGGTAAGTGGGAAAGTGACCAGGACACTCGCACTTTATTAAGACCTTTTTCTACACCGACGGTCAAGTGAAAATTCATCACGTGCAACAGCAAATCTGGTCAGATAAGATTATTTACCGGCTGAAGGCAGGCACACAATTGCACCTGGCTTCTTATGCACTTCTCGAAATCATTTAGAAGCTGCTTTTTAACAGATTCAAAGGAACTGAACTGATAAAGATTAATTTGCGAATACTCACAAATGTAACAAAATGGTCTGGGGAAAAGACGAGTAAAAGTATCAGTTTTCTCCTTAAAATGTAGTGAAATAAAAGTCAAAAGTCAACAAAAAAGATTTATACTAGGGTAGAAATTTCCAAAAAAAACTGTAGGCTACTTAAATACAGTTATAAAGTATAAAACTGTGGCACAATTTTCAAATTCACGTTAGTGTGATGTAAAGACAGAACTAAAGGTGTGATACCAGCATCCAATGCTCATAAACCATTGAAAAACCTTTAAAAGATGAAACTGTTTTATGGTATTTTTAAGAAATGAAAACAAGCACTCACTGCTTCATCAAAGCCCATGTACATGAACTGCTGGATCCACTGCTGAACGTCAGGACGGCTGCGGTCCCACAGGTTCCTTTTGGGTCTTTTAAGGGAGGCCAGGAACTGTTTGGCTTTAGAGGGAGTCACAGCTACAGCCGGCTTTACATCACCGTCCACTAGGAGACAAAGCCAATGGACAAATAGGTCATAGCAAACCCATAGGTGTTTTAATATCAGTGGGACCATGGAAAAAGTTTTCAAAATATATCTAAACATACTTTCAACAAGATAAATGTAGCAAAACTGTATAATATATGTGACCATGGACCACAAAACCAGTCATAAGGATCAATTTTTCGAAATTGAGATTTATATATGTATGGTTTGTTAGGATTGTTAGGACAATATTTGGCCGAGATACAACTATTTGAAAATCTGGAATCTGAGGGTGCAAAAAGATCTAAATATTGAGAAAATCACCTTTAAAGTTGTCCAAATGAAGTCCTTAGCAATGCATATTACTCATCAAAAATTACGTTTTGATATATTTACAGTAGAAAATTTACAAAATATCTTGATGGAACATGATCTTTATTTAATATCCTAATGATTTTTGGCATAAAAGAAAAATCAATAATTTTGACCCATTCAATGTATTTTTGGCTATTGCTACAAATATACCCCAGCGACTTAAGACTGCTTTTGTGATCCAGGGTCACATATTTGTTTCTTACTAATTTTGGGGTGCTTATTCCAAATATAGTGCATGTTTTGCTGTAGCTAATCCTGATTTCAAAGTTAGAATTATGTCCAGTGACAGAAGAAAATGCAAACATGACCCAGATGTTTTCTGCTACATCTGTGGGTGTTTTAAGCAATGACAGAAAATTACAGATTTTGTGAAAAAGCTCATAAACTTGTGTTTATGTAAAGTTCTTTGAGAGTAAATGGAGTATTTGGACATATTTATTCACTCCTTTGCAGATTGTAAGTTAAAAAAATGATACATTTTGAATACCTCTTTTTGTCAATAAAACAAACTCTAAACACTTGACTATTTTTTCTCAATAGGCAGAGCTGTGTAATCCTTGTATTATAAACATTTTACAGTGTGCACATAATGAATCAAAATATTAGTCGTGTACAGATTCCAAAAAGAGATTATTTTTGCATTAGCTCATGCAGACTGATGTGTATAAATCAGATGAATGTGTTGGACTTGTTTGGACTGAAGGCCCTCTGGAGTTGTTGGAGCTCTTTGTTTCAGACTGTGGAGGTAAAGTTGGATCCTTCTCATCAAGCCGATCCCACGGGACACACGGCCTGGAAACAGGCAATGGCAATTAGTGGTCAGGAGGCGAAGTTTACCGGCCCTGAGGGTGAGGTAGGAGCTTTGCTGCTCTACCAATTTGTTGGTTGTTAGCTGTGTCTCAGGTATTCCAGGAGACCTAAGCCTGGCTTGTTATAGCCTTTTTCTGACTACAGGATTATATCATCTTACATGAGCAGGAGTAACAGCAGAGGGATGTCAGGATTCATGTCCCAGACTGCTTTATTAATTTAACCCCTTCATGCATTGCATCCACTACAGTGGACAGATATTTGGAAGTTATTTATTGTAAGTTGTAGCACCAACTGGCGAAGCCCCAAAGTGTTGTCTTCTTTCTTTGCGTGAACATTTGGGCGGCATTATGCAAATCTTCCCACATCGTGACGTAGACATGTGGGGGCGTGTTTAAACGAGGCGTTTTAGGAGGGCGTGGACAAGTCTTAACTTTTTTTAAAGAATATCTCTTTGGATTTGAGACTTTAGTCTTTGCAACTTTACAGATCTTCTTTATGCACCAAAAGCTTGTAACACTCCAAAGAGAAAGGAAAAATTGAAATCGCATCATATGACCCCTTTAAACAACCACAAAAAGTGGTTGAAATTATAAAACGGACTATTTACCTATCCTTACTGATGTGGATGCACCTCTATCTGAAAATGGATAGATTTTAATTAAATGTTTTCTTTTTTCAAATGTTTTTCTCTTTTTAGGCCACTGATGAAGAACAGGTGGTGACTGGGATGAATGCTGGTCAAAGAGGAGAATGTCCTTTCCCCCAAACTGATGCAACAGTGGTTTTATTGGAGGAGGCTGCCCTGGATAATGTAAAAGATG